GTTCAAATATTTTTATTTTTCTTGTTGATCTGCACAGTGTGAGCACTGTGCTGGTTATGGAGGGCTTTATAAGTGAGAGGAATGACTTTGTATTGGATGCCTTGTGGGCCAGGCAGCCAGTAGAGGTTCTGGAGGACAGGTGTGAGGTGATCGCAGGATCTGGAATGGGTGAGCAGATGGGCAGCAGAGTTCTGGATGTGTTGGGGTTTGTTTAGAAGTTAGGATGGTGCACCATAAAGAATGGTCAGTGGTCAATTCTGGATGTGACAAAGGCATGGATGAGAGTTTCAGCAGCAATGGGGGAGAGTGATGGGTGGATAGGTGGAAGAAGGTGGTACTGGTGATGTGATTGACGTGTTTTTCAAAAGAGAGATTGTTGTCGAAAATGACTCAGAGGTTGTGTATGTGTGGAGAGGAATGCAGAGTGGAATTGTCAATGGTGAGGCAGAAGTTGTGAGAGGTTTTGGTGAGGGATATGGGACCGATGATGATCATGTCTAATTTTTCACAGTTCAGTCTGAGAAAGTTTGCTTGCATCCAGGACTTGATGTTGTTGAGGCAGGTGGTCAGAGTGTCTGAGTTTCAGTGGTGATAGATGTAGTGGAGATGTAGAGCTGGACGTCATCACCGTAGTAGTGGAAGTTGAGACTATGGCTGCCAATGAGTTTGCCAAGGGAGAACATGTAAAGGATGAATAGGAGGGGAACAAGCACCGAACCCTGGGGGACGCCTTGGGACAGAGGGGCAAGGGAAGAAGTGCAGTTGTTAATACTGATGAACAGATGTCGGTTTGTGAGGTATGACCTTAGCCAGGAGAGGGCAGTACCAGTGATGCTGAGGGAAGATTCGAGACGGGAAATGAGAATTGCGTAGTTGATTGTGTCAAAGGCTGCTGTGAGGTCAAGAAGGATGAGAACTGAGAGGTGTCCAGAGTCTGAGGAGAGGAGGAGATCATTGGTGACTTTGAGGAGGGCGGTTTCTGTGCTGTGCTGTGAGCGGAAGGCAGGTTGAAATGGTTCAAACACACTGTTGGAGGAGAGGTGGGCTTTAAGTTGAGAGGCAACAGCACTTTCTAGTATTTTTGACAGAAAGGGGAGATTTGAGATGGGTCGGAATTTATTCATGTCGTCAGGATCTAGTCCAGGTTTTTTTGAGAATAGGGGTGACAGCAGCCAGTTTGACAGTTTGAGTGACTGAACCGGAACTGAAGGATGAGTTGATTTTCCTGTGATGATAGAGGAGATGGCAGGGAGGCAGTCTTTAACAAGTTTGGATGGGATGGGATCAAGAGCACAGGTGGAGGTCTTCATTCCAGCCATCAACTTGGGCAACTCCACTGGGGAGATGGGGGAGAAAGTGAGAGGCTGAGTGGTGAACTGGGGAGAGACAGGTGGAGGGGTGAAAAGAGTCGGGGCGGGGGTGGAGGACAGGTTGCTGTAGATGAGATGCAGTCAATTTTTGTGTGGAAAAATGAAAGGAAAGAGTTACACTTTTCAACTGTGAAGGATGTGGAGTTGTGAATCATGATGTACCAGAGACTCAGAAAGAGGAACTAATAAGTGAGGAGGTTTTTGTCACAGTGTAAATCACTGTGATACAACCTCCTGAGCAGATTCGTCCCATCGGTGACAGTAATAGACTGCTGAGTCTCCCTCCTCCACATTACTGATGATCAAACGATAATCTGATGTTGAATGACTAGTAGATGTGAACTTGGGAGAGGAGAAACCAGAGCCATACTTTGGAGAGCTCCAACTACGATCAAAAATCAGGACAAATTGAGGGACTCCTCCTGGATTCTGTTTATACCAGCGAGCACCATCTAAAGGAGCGTTACACTCTAAGTTTGCTGTCTCTCCTTTCCTCAGCGTCACATCAGGAGGCTTCTGTGTCACCACCGTCACACCACTCACACCTGGAAACAACAAGATGACATGGAGTCAAGAGAAACACACAGACTGATGAATCCAACATGAGGTCAAAGCTGCAGTAAGTCAGCCTCCTTACATGTTAGAGCAGTGATGAGAGTGCAGAGGGTCCCCAGCATGTTGTCAGTGTGTGGTGTAAACGTCCCTTACTGTCCAGCTGAGAGGTGAGCAGGGTTGGAGTGTGAGGAGAAGAGAGACTGAAGCTTATAAAGACACTGATGAGAGGAGAAGTGGAGGAGGAGGAGTTTCACTCAACAGTCTTTTTTTAGTTCATAAATCAACTACAGCATATATGGGATCTACATCATAAACTCTTTTTCATCACTTCTGTTGTTAAACTCATCTTCATATTGCTTTTGGAAGTCAGCTGATGTGCTTTAAATATTTATTCCAGCTGTGGTATCACATGAATTATGTCTTGTACATAAATGCAGTATATGATTCAATCTTCTTGACTTAATTCCAAATGTTTATGTTTATTAAACCTTACAATGAGACCTCTAATTTTTCCCCATTGTTTAAGATGATAAAATACTGATTTAATCACAATTATTGCCTTGATGTGACTGCTGGAGCTCAGATCTGAGTCTTTTAAAACACCCAAATTTCTACCTTTATAACTCTGGAGTTAAACTGAGCAATAATTTTCACTCTTCTCTCCTTGTTGCCACAGACAATGGCTTCTATCTTGTCTTATCTTAGTTTCATTTCATTGATTTAATTGCATCCAGCTATTTATCTGCTCTACTTAACTCAACTCAATTCAACTCACATTTATTTAGAACATTTAACAAACAACTCACGTTGACCAAAGTGCTGTACAAAAGGAATAGAATGCTAAAGAAATGAATACATAGGGGCAAAATAACTGTCAGGTACACAGCTCACACAATAGAGACTCAACACACACAGCCATGCATCAGGGAGAACCACATCAAGGGGACTCAAACGTTAATGAATAAAAGTAGGTTTTGAGTCTGGACTTAAAACAGTCAGTGGTGGGGGCAGATCTGATTGGGAGGGGGATGCTGTTCCACAGTTCTGGGGCAGACACAGTAAAGGCAAGATCAACCTGAGTTTAAGTCTGGAGTGTGAGACAGACAGGGAGGGACCTGGGTGTAGAATAGGGGTTAGAAGGTCTGAGGTGTAGGATGGGGCTAGACCATCAAGGACCTTGTACACAAACAGGAGAACCTTAAAGTCAGTTTTGAACTTTACTGGCAGCCAGTGGATGGAGGCCAAAACAGGTGTGATATGGTCTCTCCTCCGGTTACCTTTGAGGAGCCAAGCAGCGGCTACTGAACCAGCTGGAGGTGGGACAAAAAGGACTGACTGATACCAGTGTACAGAGAGTTACAGTAGTCTAAACAGGAGGAGATGAGAGCATGGGTGACTATCTGCAGCTCTTTGAGGGAGAAAAATGGTTTTATTTTGGCAATGGTGCGGAGTTAGGAATTTGTTTCTCAAATTTAAAGGTGGAGTCAAATATCATGCCAAGATTTTTGACATGGGGTTTAACATAGTTAGAGAGGCTACCGAGCTGGTCAGGAATCTCTCTAATGGAGTCGGGGGGGCAAAGAGGCAGCTTATTATTTGCCCTCATTCAGCTGGAGGAAGTTCTGTGCCATCCAGCTCTTCATGTCCTCGAGGCAGTTTATGAGACTGGCAACACTGGACTTGTGGTTAGGCTGACAGGGAGACACAGCTGTGTGTCGTCAGCATAGGAGTGGACGGAGATATGTTACGAGGAGTTATGTTTTTTTAATAATTTGGCTGAGAGGAAGCATGTACAATGAAAAGAGAGTAGGACCTAAGATGGAGCCTTGAAGCCAAGCCTTATCATTTATGATTTGACCTGGAGGGAGCATGTACAGGTTGAATAATAGCAGCTCAAGAATGGAACCCTGGGGGACTCCAAATGTCTTGCTGATCTGCTCAGATTTATAATTACTGTATTTTACAGTATGTGCAAACAGTATTATATGATAAGCAGGGTGTGGTGTGTGTTTCATTTGTTGGAAACAAATCTTCAATCCCTAAATCTATATGACATGTTGTCAGGTGAATGAAGCATTTTCATTTGTTTGTGTTTCAGGTGCACAAGACATCACTTTAGTTTTTGTAACTCTGAGGCCAGATGATCTTTTGACCTCTTCGTGAAGACTGAAAAGTGAAACTGGATAACTATTAAATGCAAGAAGTATTTGTGTTACAATTATCACTGCCTGTGCACCAGAGGATTTAAATTTAGTAATCTAGAAAGATTTATGACATTAATCTAAATTGAGACCAGCGAATGAGAATCTGTTGCTAACTGTCCATAACTTGTCGAGTGAGCATGTTGTCTGTTTTGTGTCAGCATGTACACATGACATACTGTATATGACTATCATTAGGAAAGATCTGAAGATTTATGTGAGTATAATAAAAGGGTTTAGAAGTTTGAAACATAATTTTAATATCTATGTGGGGAAGTTACAAGAAGCATTGACTGATGGCTTCACTGCCAGTCAAGATGTATCAGCAGGTCAAAAAGCAGAAGTAGTTCGTGAGGAGGTTTTTGTCACAGTGTAAATCACTGTGATATGTTCTCTTTAGCAGAGCTGTCCCATGTTTTACAGTAATAGACTGCTGAGTCTCCCTCCTCCACATTGTTGATGATCAAACGATAATCTGATGTTGACTGATGATTAGATGTGAATTTTGGAGATGAGAAACCAGAGCCATATGTTGCAGAGCTACAGCCGTGATGAAAATATAGCACATAATGAGGAACTCCTCCTGGAATCTGTTTATACCAGCGAGCACTAGCATCAGTCACAGTCCCCAGGTTACAGTCCATGGTGGCTGTCTCTCCTTTCCTCAGCGTCACAACAGGAGGCTTCTGTGTCACCACCGTCACACCACTCACACCTGGAAACAACAAGATGACATGGAGTCAAGAGAAACACACAGACTGATGAATCCAACATGAGGTCAAAGCTGCAGTAAGTCAGCCTCCTTACATGTTAGAGCAGTGATGAGAGTGCAGAGGGTCCCCAGCATGTTGTCAGTGTGTGGTGTAAACGTCCCTTACTGTCCAGCTGAGAGGTGAGCAGGGTTGGAGTGTGAGGAGAAGAGAGACTGAAGCTTATAAAGACACTGAGGAGAAGAGAAGTGGAGGAGGAGGAGTTTCACTCAACACTTTTTTGTTTTAACTTCATGAATCAACTACAGCATGTATGGGATCTACATCATAAACTTTTTCATCACTTCTGTTGTTAAACACGTCTTTATGTTGATTTTAGTCTGTTTTTGTTCTTAAAATATGAAATCCTGCTATGGTATCACATTATTAACACATTAATAGTGTCTTGTAGTATTTTTTCATAAAGGACTGATCACACCTAATTAATACTCCTTCTTAGCTTTAGTTTAATGTTAAATGTGACTTCTCAGGTTGTAATTAAATGCAGTGAACATAATTAAACATCATATCACAAACACTGTTTACTGCAACAACAAAGGTCAGCGCATCATCAGTCTCTTGACCTACAGGAACATCTTAGTGTTGAACAATGTCCTTTGCAGTGGCATCTCACCATTTCAATGATGCCCTGAGGAGCTGGTAGTACATCAGTGGTAGTGGGTCTCAACTGGCCTTTATCATCCATGTAGTAGCCATTTTGCAGAGGAATGCTTGCCTGGCCCCAAACTCCAGCTTGCACATGTAGCTCCCCCATCAATAAGCTGCTTCAGCACATCCTCTGTAGGTGGTAGCTCGTTACTCTCTGCCTTATACTGGTCAAAATGTGCCATCTCAGCTCTGGAATGTTTCTTATTGCGATTCCTTTTGAGTAATAGGAAGCACACACAAACCTCGTCAAGCGTTTCTGTTGTTCCTCCGTTACTCTTTAATGATCTGAAAGCATCCTCACAGCTTCAACGATGTCATCCTCAGCTTTAAGGAAGATCTTGAACCATGTTAC